TCATGGAGAATATCTCTCCATCTCACACAGCGTACTATCAGATGGCTAGAGCCCTCCGCATAGACGCTATCACCCACACTCCCCCTCTCTCCCGTCCCGACGGCACGATTGCCTTCGAGGACGAGGAAAAGGCTGAGTGCTTTGCAGATAGCATTGCCGCTCAATGCTCTCCCAGTTCTCAACCCGTCGACCCCTCACACGTCCAGGCAGTGGAGGATGAGGTCCGCCGCCGGAGCTCACCCCCCACGGCCTCTGAACCTATCTCTGTGTCCAATGATGAGATCTCATCCCTCATCAAAGGACTTAAGCCTAAAAAGGCTCCGGGCGCGGATGGCATCTCCAACCAAGCCCTAAAACACTTTCCCGAGCAGGTGTTAACCTTTTTATCTATTATCTTCAACGCCTGCTTCAACCTTAGTTATTTTCCCACTACGTGGAAAGAGGCTACTGTGATTGGAATTCCCAAGCCAGGCAAGCCTCTCAACCTCCCCCTCCAGCCATCGCCCCATTAGCCTCCTCAAGGCAATGGGCAAGCTCTTCGAAAGAGTCATCCAAAGTCGTATGAGGCGCTACCTGTTTCCCACAGACGGCGACCCTCTTATCATTCCCCATCAATTCGGCTTCCGAGCCAAACACTCATGTCCCCAACAAGTTCACCGCATTGTGGAATATATCCTCAGCGGTTTCTATCCTCGTCGTCATAAGACCATCGCGGTCTTTTTCGATATAGCCAAAGCTTTCGATAGAGTCTGGCACACAGGCCTTATCTACAAGCTCTATAAAATAGGTCTCCCCGATCGTCTAGTTCGTCTCGTGGCCTCCTATTTAAAACATCGTACCTTTCGTTTCAGACACGAAGGCACGCTCTCTTCACAGCGAACTATCAAGGCTGGTGTCCCTCAGGGCTCAGTACTTGCTCCTCTGCTGTACATCATATTCACCAACGACATTCCCATCCCGTCGAAAGGTGTTCAACTCTCCCTCTTTGCAGACGACACTGCCATCTACTGCAAAGGTGTCTCACTACCCTTCATACGGAACAAGATCCAAAAGTCAGTTGATGACCTAGGAGCTTGGTTCAAAAAATGGCGCATCGATGTGAACCCGGAGAAGAGCTCCGCCGTTCACTTCGATTATAAACGACGCCGTCTCAAAAACACTCCACCAATACGTATGCTAGGGACCCCTGTCCCCTGGCATACGTCCGCCAAATATTTAGGTGTCACTCTAGACACAGGGCTCACTTTCAAGCCCCACGTCAAAAGAGTAACCCGTCACGCACGTTTTTATCTGAGTAGGCTCAACAGTATGTTGGGCCGACACAGTAAAATGTCCCTTCGAAACAAGCGTACACTCTATAAGGTATGTATACGACCAGTCATGTCCTACGCGGGCCCCGTCTTTGCCCACGCAAACCCTAACATTTTAAATGAACTCCAAATAGTTCAGAACCTATTCTGTCGTCGAGCTGCGAACGCACCGTGGTACGTCCGCAATGCCGACCTTCATCGGGACTTAGAGCTCCCAACAATTCAGCAATTTCTTAAAAAACTCTCTGAGAACTTCTTCAAAGCCTCAGAGTCGCACCCAAACCACTTAATTCGTGAGGCAGCTTCTTATGCAGCCCCACCCCCCTCTCGCTATCGTGTCCGCAGGCCGAGAAACTCTCTCTCGGACCCGCCTAATAAACTTTCAAACGACCTGAACTGTCTCCTGGCAGCTCAGGCCAACTCTAATTAAATAAAATTATTGTAATATCTGACATTAATTTGCCTTCGTAGGCACTCCCTCAGCGGCACTTAGCCGCCTGCGCCCTCTTTTCCCAAAAGAGGGTCGCTCATGATAAGGCACAATAGAGCTTAATCAGCCGGTTGCCTGTCCCTAAAGGCGGTTTTTAGGGGGTATCACTTAGGGTCCCCGGTAGGACAGTGAGTCCCCCATAACCACGATAGACCGGCTATCGTGGTATGCGTAATGCATTTTCCGCCTCCCTACGTACAGGGTAGCCCTTTAATTGCTTCGGGCGCAAAAAAAAAAAAAAAAAAAAAAAAAAAAGACAAAATTTCAACCTATTCAACTAGATTTTGGCACTAAAGGAGATTGCGGTGGCAGTACATTCGTGATGTATATAATTGTAAAAATTTAGCTAATAAGGAATGCTTTCAACTCTTTCAATATGGTAACTCTTTTGAGAAAAGTGATAAAAAATATCCTCAAAATGTATCATTACATCATGATGATTTGTTTTGCGATAACCTTAATTAAGATTCTGCTGTCGCTGTTCAGTAGAGTGATTCACTAGGTCGAGCTCCGTTTAGTTTGTGCATTCAACCAGTTATTTCTAATATGAAATCGAAACTGAATGTGTGGTACGCCGGTATATGAACAGGTAAAACAGATGACGTCCCTAATGATCATACTCATATTTATAAAATGTATTGTTCTTAAAATGCCACTGCATATTAGTAATTTATTTCCAGCTATTTATTTTGTCCCAATGGAGACAGTTTAATTCAAAAATTCAATCATATTTCTCAAGGAGTTAAAGCCCTAGTTCAACACGCTACGTGCGTAGACATTTTGGCAGCCTTTCATCCCCGTGATGGCAACAGAAACGACTGAACGCATGACATTTTGTCGATCACAGAATAAATAAATGTTTTGCAGCCACTACCGAGTAGTAGCAGTGTAAGGATATTCACTGCCCCATATCTTCCTGTAAGAATCGTAAGAGACGACACAAAATAGGTAATGAACAGCAGCGTCTCCCTAATGAACTATGGCAAATATCCCCCTGTGAGGCAAGCTTTGGTGGAGGCTTATGTTCAGAAGTGGAGTTTTGACAGGCGGGATGCAGCCGCGTACGCTACCAACCTACCAACACACAACACAACACAAACTAAGAGGTCACCTATCGGCATCCTTCAAAATACCGGGAACATTATTGTAAGTGTTGGAGCCGTGTGATATTTTAAAAATTGTAACAATTATTTTTAAACTCGACTTGACATTTACCAATAAATTCCAATAAAATAACTGTGAGTGTCCAAGTACTCAGGCTACTTATCTACATTTAATCATTTATAATACCTAAAGATATGAATAATATAACCTTACTTTAAAATATGTCTTGCTATATTAAATATTAATATTTTTAACTTTATATTTATCATTTTCGGTGAGTCCCTTAGTGATAAGGTAATTTCTGAACGAATTGACAAATTTAGGTCATATTCATATAACATATTTCTCGATATAACATATTTGCCGTGTAGTGGCGGTTAAGAATATCCAATACCCCATACCTTCCTGTGTTGTAAAAGGCGACAGAGGGAAACAGGCAGGAGATGGGCAGCAACTTCCTGATAACAGCAACTGTACAAAAAAACGCGGTTGCCAACCCGCTCTCCATGCGTGGCAACTATGGCAATATATCCCCCATGATAGTTACGAAGAAACGGCTTTCAGTCCCTGGCGGCCTCGCTATTCCTGGCTACGGTGGCAACCATGGTAACGGCGAGGCAGGGGGTGCTAAGAATTTCCGGTGGAGGTTCGGTTGCCATCTACGACGACTCGATCTGGCAACATACAACGCACGCACCCTAAGGACTTGGTAAGACACGCAGGAAGTCGATGGATGCAGGTGGTTCAGAACCGTGGTTTGTGGCATTCCTTGTGGGAGGCTTATGTCCACCAGTGGACTTGTGAAGGGCTGTAATGATGATGATGATTTCTCGACAGCTAGAAATTCGTTTATATTAAAAACTCACATCACATGACATTAACAAATAAATGTTATTTTGAACCGAAAAAGAAAATAATTAATTCTAGATTCGATAGGTGGCACTGAGGTCGAGCTATTAATAAATTTAAGTTAATCGCGCCACCTGCCGCAAAAAGCAGAGCAAAGCCTGCCTGGTCATACAGGATTTTTATAAATCAAGGGTTAATACATTCAAAACATTACAGACAACAGCCCAATTTTATTTGATTTAATCTTTAAAATGGAGGATTACGAAAACGTTAAATCTCTTAACAATCAATTGCAGTGCGTTAGTCTCTAAAACCTCGAGTATGGTTGGACCGATTGTGATGAAATATTTTGTGTGTGTTTGAGTGGGTCCTGGAATGGATTAGATTCACAATTGGACCCTGTAGATGGCGCTGTTTTCCAGATTCAGAAATCACCCGTGCGTAGCCGGAGCGGATCACTAGCGATTAATAAAATACTATTATTCTACTATTCAACACAACGTAAAATGTTAAAATAGTAATAAAACATACATACGTGGTAGAGCCATGCTGCAGTTATAATAGTAGTATACTTGTAGCACGAATGGGTCGGCTCGACCGGGGAAGGACCACGCTCTCACAGAATACCAGGGTCAAATAGTAGCTTAATGCTGCTGTGTTTCGTATAGTGGTATGTATGAGTGTAGAGAACCGGAGAACCTTTTTACTGGAAACGAGGCACTCCATCATAGTCCTTACGGGTGACAACGCATCTGCATTTTGATTTGCAATCGAGGATAGATGTACATGTCTATGGGCCGCAGCAACCACTTACCATCAGGTGGACTGTGTACTCGTTTGTCACCCTATCCTATAAAAAAAATACGTAAAACGCAGATTTAAATCACAATTTCAATTGTAATTTAGGTTATAATAATAATAATAATTTAGGTATAGGAAGATGATGTAAAATATCTTGATCGTATGTCTCCTGTTGTTTTGATTATAAGATACTACAAAACACAACCGCGTGTCAAACAAATGCATCATATACTTATATGACGTATCTCATTACGCACTACGTTAAAATAACCATAGTAATCAAGAAAAGCAGTCAAAAAGCACACGCTTCCTGCATTCTTTGTCCTTGATGGTTGACTTTTTTTTTAATATTTCAAGTAACTCAGCATCCAGTATCACACAGTCTTGATCTATATAGTTGTTGTAGGTGATGATGACGCGCGATTATAAATACCGAATGTAACGAGATGAGGGCAATCAGTAGCTTCGAGACATCCTGCACGATGAGAGTTCTGGTCAGTCAAGTTGTGTTCTTTTGTTTAGTGTTTCTTGTGATAAGTGATCAATATAAAAAGTGAATCGTTGGATTTATTCTTACAATATTTTAATTATAATATTAATTAAATCATTCTTCACAGCGTATCAACAGTCCACTGCTGACAATAGGCCTCCACCGTAGATTAGTCTACTAGGGGGATATTTGTCTAATAGAGGGATATTTGCCATTGTGACCACGCTCGGCAGGCAGATCAAAAGTAGCAGTTTTTTATCAATTTCAGTCGTAATCTGTTTAATGCTACTCCCATCTCCACTTTCAGTTTCCCACTGTCGCCTCTCACGAGTCACGACATTCACGGGAAAAATCTTTATTTCACAACACAGTGGTTTGTAACTGTAAACAGAGGTTGGGACCATCCTATTAAGTAATAATAATACTTGTGCCAGGTGGCCCCGCTCTTCCTTACTTTACTAAATATCTTCAAATCAAACATCAAACATTATATTAATGAATAGACACGAACATTTAATTTCAATAAGTTTATGAAAATTATTGTTTACTGATTTTTTTTTCGATAATCGGTATGGCAGGGAATCAGTGTTCATGAGCTTATGATTCGTCTAGAGCCGTCTCCTAAAATTCTGCCATGATCCATAACACTCCACTCTTTGGCAATGAGCCTCTCCCCATGCACGAAGGTCTTTTACCGTAATCACTACGCTTAATATGCGATTTACCCTACAGCCCTCTAATTTAGCTTAATTTGGTAAGGCTCAACTGCTTTTATTGTTATGCTTTGTAGCGTTGACACGCAAATAAAAATATTCCAGCTGACAAGCACGAGTATTATTATTTTGCGTGACACGATGAGACTGTTGTGTTCGTCTTTCAGTTTATCATTGGATGATTCTCTCATATTACATCAGAGTTTTCAGTTTTTGCTTATGCTTTAGTTGATTAAAATGTTTACGTTAAGTTACAATAAGAGAGGGATTATTATTTTTTATTTATATTTCATAAAACGTTACCTCCACACTAGAATTTTCTCCTGTATTGTGGGGGCAGGTTACAAACATAAATTTTACAAGGACAAACATCCAGATCCGGAACAATTACTTGTAGGCCTCACAAATACTTGTTCCGTGCGGGATTCGAATCCGCGGCCCTTAGCGCTGTAACTCATTGCTAAGCCACTATGCCACAGTGCAGTCAAACGAATTGGATTATTATATAATAAATTACAATGATATTATTGACTAAGCGCTTAGCGGGATAGTTAAGTGTGCAAAATATGCAAAATATTTAGAGCACAAGTACAAGTCCACTAATGTACAACAGAGACAGCGTGCACAATCCCTGTTTTACAATATTTTTATTACGTAATACGGTTTGATGAAGTTAACCTTCATACCTACAGCATTTCATAACAATTTATTCCTTAACAATTTTAAATTCTTAATAAAAAGGAATAAAAATTTATGAACACAACAAATAATAAAAAAATTATTTTGCAGATATTGATTGCTGCCTACTTGGTTTCCGCAACCGCTGCGCCTTCTGGTGCATTCTTCGGTTCGATTGTACACAATCCCTACTATACGATACCTATTCCTGCTGCTGTACCCACAATATCGGCAGGTGACTTACAAGCTGCAGCGATAAATGCAAAAGTTCAATTTGAACAGCAAGCTCAAGCTGCAGCCGACAAGGCGAGAGAATTAGCTGAACAAGCAATAGAGAAACAAAATGAGGGTATTATTGAAGCTAATGATTTGGCAAAAGAGCGAGCCGAAGAGTCATTCTGGGCAGCAGAAGAACAGAAGTGGCAAGCATTAGACGCTCTAAAAACCGCTGAAGCTCAGATTGGTGGATCTATAGCGAGCAGGGCGAGTGATGTCGCTTTAGCGGCGTATAGTGTACCAACTGCTATTCAGGCACAAACTGGACTTTCGGGACACTCTGTTGTAGCGACAGAAACAAAAAGCATCACTCCTGAAGGAGCCAATGTAGAAGAACAAAAGGCAAAAGCTGAAGGTGAAGCAATGGGTGCAGTCAAATCAGTGCAAGCCGAGAGCAAACCCGAAAATACTGAAAAGCCCGTGGAGAACGTTCAAGCAGATGCAGCTAAAATGGAAACGTCAGCGTCAGTGAAAACTACAGAAGCGGTTAAAAAAGAAAATCCAGCTGCTATCTTTTTAGCTCAAACTCACACAGCACCTGTGGTGTCTAATGCCTTCTTGGCACAACACTTGCTGAAACAAGGAATTGCACCAATTTCCTATATTTCTGGATTACAAAGCTACAGTCCAAATCTCGTTCCAAATCTCATTCCAAATTATAACAGTCAGTTGGTAAACCCAGTCTTTTTTAGAGCTGCGTGGTAAGAAGCAAGTTATTCGCAATTCTGTAAAAAAATCGCAATGGCTTTGTAAAGTAAATAAATCGTAATAACAAACCTGTATTTAATTTCCTTGTTAGTCTCTTACAATGTACTGTTTCAAGTCTACCGTGCTTATGAAAATTGTAATAATTAAGGATGGCCATTAATGGTTTAGAAAATAAAGTCTAAAGATTTATGATTAAAACTACTTTTACGGATTTTATCGCGTATATATTTTTGCTTTTAATTACTTTTATTTTTAATTCCCGACGTTTCGGGCGCTTTCCAGCACCCATGGTCACGGGGGACTGAGATGACTGACGTCCCGATGTCATTGTTAAACCCGGAGTACCTTCAGCTTTTTTAATTATTGTTTATGGTCCGATCTATGCAAAATGAACTGACTATGTCTTGAGGTCTTGCAGTGATATGCTTGGGTTTAGTTTTAATTTTATTGATTATAGGATCCCAAGCAGGTGGTAGTACCCAGCCTCCTTCTCTATTGAAATTAGGATGTTTTTTAATTTCAATAGCCTCACGTATCATCCTTGGTAGGAATCGGTGTTCTTTCGCGAGGATTTGTGGTCTATCAAATCTGATGTAATGGTTGGGGCCGTCCAGGATATGATCACAAACTGCAGACTTCCCGGAACGTTGATGCTTCACATCAGCTATATGTTCTTTTACGCGGGTTCTAATTGATCTTTTTGTTTGTCCTATATAAGAGAGACCACATTCACAATCAAGCTTGTACACTCCTGCATCTTGTAGAGGAATATGACACTTGACGGATGGTAGGAACTGACTAATCTTCTTCGGCGGCTTGTAGAATGTTCTAATAGAAGCTCGCTTCAAGATATAGCCAATCTTGTCTGTGACACCTCTGACATATGGTAGTACAGCAGGCACACGCTCGACTGTGGCCGGCTTCACTCGGTCATTGTGACGTAGGCGCGGGACCCGAAGCTTGTTGTCGTGCAGAACTTGCTTGACGTGCTGAAGCTCGGCGGCCAGGTGTTTGCTGTCACAGATCCCTCGTGCTCTCTGTAACAAAGATTTGCCCATGGTAGCTAACTGTTAAGGATGGTGGTGAGATTCACCGTTTAAATATCGGTTTGTATGCGTCTTTTTCCTATACACAGTGTGACCAATGGTGTTATTAGGATTTCGGATGACTAACACATCTAGGAAAGGTAAGGAATTATTTGCCTCTAACTCCATGGTAAATTGAATTTTAGAGTTTATGGAATTAAGATGTTCTAAAAATGCAGTTACTTTGTCTGATGGTAAAATTGTGAAAGTATCGTCTACGTACCGCTTGTAGATCCTTGGTGTAACAGGTGCAGTAAGGAGGGCTTTCTCCTCAAAGTCTTCCATGAATATATCGGCGACAATGGGAGATACAGGTGAGCCCATCGCAACACCATCTACTTGCTTGTAAAACTCTTCCTTCCACAATAGATAGCCAGATGTAAGGCAATGTCTTAGTAATACTGCATATTCTGCTGGCATGTTATTTTCCTCTAGTTTCCTAGTTATAATTGAGATGCAGTCTTCAACAGGTAGGCATGTAAATAGAGACTGAACATCAAAACTGATTATGGTTTCATTGTCAGTAAGATGTAGGTCTTTTATCTCACTGACAAAATGGTATGAATCCTTAGTGTGTGCTCTTGTGTGTCCCCTGAGTGGTGATAATATTTTAGCTAAGTATTGAGCCAATAATTAAAAGAAAAAAAAAAGAAAGGGGAATGAAAGTGAACGCAAGTAAGACGAAAGTGATGGTTTTTGAAAGAGAAGAAAGCAAAACGGTATGTGAAATAAGAATAGAAGGAGAGTTAATTGAGCAAGTGGATGAGTTTGTGTATTTGGGATGTGTATTTAGCAGGGATGGTAGATATGATAGGGATATAGAACGACGAGTAAATGCAGGGAATAGAGTGAATGGGGCACTACACTCTATTATGAAGAACCAGAATGTGTCAAAACAGGCACGTATGGTAATTCATAATGCTGTGTTAGTCCCTACGTTAATGTATGGTAGTGAAAGCTGGGTGTGGCAGAAGAAGCACGAAAGTAGAATAAATGCTGTAGAAATGCGTTCTTTAAGAAATATGCTAGGGTTTAATCTGAATGACAGGGTGAGAAATTGCGTGATAAGAGATAAATGTGGTATGCAAGATGATGTTGTGACCAGGATTAAGAAAGGAATGCTTCGGTGGTTTGGTCACGTAGAAAGAATGAATGATGAAAGAGTGACAAAGCAAATTTATATGGCAGATGTGAACGGCCGAGTCGGGAAGGGACGCCCTAGAAAAAAGTTTGTCGACCAAATTGGCGATATTTTGAAAATGGGCCACGTTAGAAGTACCCTTAACCGACGAGCATGTATGCGTAGATATATGGATGTGAAGGAGGCGAAAGAGGTATGTCAGGATCGTGCCAAATGGAAGTCCGTAATCTCTGCCTAGCCCTCTGGGTGACAGGCGTGAGTGTTTATGTTTGAGCCAATAGTTGGCGAATCAATCTGACTCACTATTGGACGTAATGGAGCATTCGGTTTGTGTATTTTTGGTAACCCATACAACTTCGGTGGTTTGGCACATGAAGTTATTATCGAATTAACGTCCAGATTCAATTTTTCGGAGTATTTCTTAATTAGATCGCTAGTTGTTTTAAGCGAATTAGTTGTAGGGTCTGTTTCGACCTTTCGATAAGTAGTTTCATCCGACAAAAGTTGTTGTATTTTAAAATTGTAATCTGACGTATCCATTATAACCGTAGAATTACCTTTATCTGCGCGGAGAATCGTAAGCTCTGGTCTGTTGCGTAAGTTTTTCAACGCGTTAAATTCATTTTTGGGAAGATTTAATTTCGGCGCTGAACTTCGACATAACATAGACGAGATGTCTTGACGTATGGCCTCTAAATCTTCATTACCAATATTATTTTTATACAGACTGTCCTCAACACTACAGATAATGTGCGCCCGAAACGTCGGGAATTAAAAATAAAAGTAATTAAAAGCAAAAATAAACGCGATAAGATCCGTAAAAGTAGTTTTAATCATGTGTAGTGTTCGCGTAAATATAAGAAATCATTATCTAAAGATTTAATTAACTCCACAATTCAGCCACATTTCTTCACATGAAAAAACTATAGGGATAGTTAGTTATTGGCCATTCCGCAGAAAATATAATAGGGTACAGGAATCTTAAATAACAAAGAACAAGAGGACAAATATATTCTTAAATAAAGAATACACAAAAAAAATATCTCCAAAATATTTTTAATCATATGACGTGCCTCACGATGTTTTCCTTCACCACCTAGCACGAGGTAACTCAGCATCGACATCAGCACTTAGTATCTAGCAAGTAATTTGCAATTTAGTAAAATAAAATCTCAGCCCCTTAAGATTTTAAAAATTTGTAAATGAAATAAATCGTAACAATGAACTTGTGCTTAATTTCCTTGTCCATTACTATATATACGAGGGGAGGTCAAAAAGTTTGTGGAATGACAGGGAAGGATAATGAAATGAAACATTAATCTATTTTTTCTTTTCAATGTATTCTCCCTTATCACTAATACATTTATTAGATCTGTCAAATAACTTATTAATACTTTCTAAAAAAAATATTTGTCTTGGACGTCAAAACAGGCCGAAACTACCGACTTCACTTCAGCATCGTCGACAAATTTTCTCCCACGTAGTTCTTTCTTTATTTTTGTAAACAAATAATAGTCGGTCGGTATATGGGGTCAGGTCTGGGCTGTAGTGGGCGCAGTTGTTCAAAACCGCCCCGGTGAATGGCAATCTTCACTCTTCGCAACATGGTTTGTGTGCACGGGCGCATTGTTGTGCTAAAGGAGCACGCCTTTTGTAAGCTTTCCTCGCCTTCATTTTTTAATAACTTCTTTTAATTGATCTAGTAAAGAAGCGTAGTATTCTCCCGATATGGAAACACCACGTTCCTAATAATTAATCAAAAGGATAACTTCTGCAACCCAAAAGATCGTCGCCATGATCTTTCCGGCCGATTGAGACACCTTATACTTCTTAGGAGGGGGTGCGCCTTTTATAGGCCACTCTTGCTTTGACTCAGGTTCATAATAGAGAACCCAAATTTTATCGCCAGTTACAATTTGGGCCTTAACTTTCATTCTCATTCTCGGAACCCATCTTGCATTGGTGTTGATGTAGGATGTTTAAAATGATTGCTTGTAATACTCCAAGTAATGCTACAAGCCGTTTTTTTTTTAGCCGAGCATCTTCCGATATAAGTTTTTCATTTTTTTTCGATTATTTCTGGAGTCGGGGGTCGTCTTCAATGGAATCCCTCTCTTGTTTGAAAAGGGCGTGTCATTTATAAATCATGGTTTTCCCAAGAGCGAAGTCCTCATAAACAGCTAACATCTCTTGAAAAATTGTTTGAGAATTCTTATCTTGTATAGTGAGAAAACTTAATGTCAGCGCGATATTAAATTTTCTCCATAGTGGCTAGTTACTTCCCGATTAACTTGTTTACCCGTTGTTAACTGAAAATCTAATAACTGAAACTTTGTATATATATACAATAAGTCATAACAATGAGTCACTCAACTAGCGACCTTCTGGATAAATAAACTCATCCTCGCCAACTCCTCCATTCCGCGAACTTTTTGACCTCCCCACATTCAGAACCAAGACTGCCGTGTTTATCAAAGATGCAATAATTAAGAATCGCCATTATTTGTTTAGAAAGTGAGGTCTTAATAAGATTCTAATATAATGAACTATAAATACATTTAACTATTTATAAATAAACGTAATTAATTCCGCAATTTAGTCCATGGTAGGTATGCAGTTCTTCGAAATGAAAAATTAAATAAGAATCAATTTGCATATAACAATACAATCATCGATTTTATTATCTATCAGTCACAAGGTTCCGATATGATTTCTTCACATGCAAAGGAGAAAGAAAGATATATTTATTTGGCCATTTCTTAGGATATATA